TACGTAGGCCTCATTTCCATGTGAGGAGGAAGGTTTGACACACAGGGAAAGTGAGCAGTGGCTGACTGACAAAGTTAGAAATCAGATACGTGGGGCCCAGATTTTACTTCTGACATGTTTGAGCGCTCTTTGGTAATGTTGGCAGCAATCTGTTGGGCTTGAATTGCATCACCTCTGTGAGATCATCTGCAGAGGGGGAAGAGCTTCTGGCTTTGTCACATTGGAGTCTACGTTCTTGGTGATTTGGGGGAAACTTCATAAGATGTAACCTGGGTAGCATGTAGGAACTCCAGCAATTTTGAGGTGCTGGCAGCCTCTTTTATGATTAAAACTTAAGCACTGGGTCTGCTCACTTCTATCCAGTGCTTCTCTTCCGCACTGTGTTTGAATCATTGATTTATTAGGTTACCTTCCCCACTAGATTAAATGCCAGAAAGGAAGGGACCAACCACCTGGTCACAAGGTCTCCATGCCTGGTGCCATATGATAGGTGCTCAGTATTTCAGAGGTAAAGTGGGCTCAAACAGATGTACAAAGAAGGTCAGCACCAGCCCACCGCCTACTTAGTAAACCTACAGATCAGTCAATAACTCAGATCTTGGGAAGGCTTCTTAGGAAAATTAAAGATTAGAGGCAGCACCTAGCAGGCATCCTCTTGCTTAATTTAGAGTCCAAAATAGCCATCAGGCCCAGGCTTTCCTAGGGAACTTCCATGAAGGGGAAAGTGTGCTAACTTTAAGGTTTCACCTGCCATCTCATTAGACCCTGCAGTGCACCTAGCAGACCTAACTAGGTGGCATTAACAATATCCAGATTTTTTATTGCAAACCCACAGGAGAGCTTAGCAAAGAGATGCTGAATCAAACTGAAAAATGCGCAGAGTGAAATGGAGATGATTTTTCACTTCCAAAGCCAGATTTTCCTAGAGCTAAGTCATACTCTGCCTTGAAGTCCTATGAAAAGTTATCCTCAGGTTTTCTAGCTAAAAACTCTTTAGCTGGGCAAAGAAATTGCCTCTGGACCACTTACCTCTGTTCAATGGTACATCTAATCCATCCCCTCTGCAGAAGGGATTCTTGGACTTGTCGCCTTGAAAACAGTCACTGTGCTGTGGCCTAAGTACTCTTTTGAGATTAATTTGAAGTAGAAGGGACCATCTTAAGCAATTTTGAGGCTATCAACTAACCATCTGGAGAGCAGCTGCATCAAGGTCCATTTATCATAAGCATCATCACAGACCTTTCCATAGTCCTCTGAGGCACTTAATTTCTTTTTAAAAATATATTTTTATTGATTTTAGGGAAGAGAAAGGGAGATGGGGAGAGATAGAAACATCATTGGGAGAGAAACTGCGATTGATTGCCTTCTAGACACACCCTACTGGGGTTCAAGCCCACAACCCAGACTTGTACCCTGATGGGGAATCGAACCAGCAACCTCTTAGTACAGCAGATGACACTCAGTTCACTGAGCTGAACCAACCGGGCACATTTAATTTATTACAAACTAGTATGTGAAGGTAGCTTTCCAAAGGAAGGTCAGCATCCAGAGTAAATTTAATGATGACTCAAAATCATATAGGTGACTGCTTAGCCTTGATCACTACTCCCTCTATTGAAAAGGACAGTGTTATTCATATTCTGTGAGAAATAGAAAGTGGTCTAGAGAGTTAATGAGTGAGATACACACACACACACACACACACACACACACACACACACACACACATATATATATATATATATATATATATATATATATATATATATATATATATATATACTGTGCTCCGAGTCTTCTGGTTCTTGGATCAAAACCCAAAGCCATGCGGCTGGGAGCTATCTGTTTATCTGTTCCCTTGATCTTATGGCCATGCTCTACATTTTATCAATTTGCTGCTCCTCCTGAAACAGAAGGGCTCCTAACTACTTTTCAAATGTTCCAGAATTATAAAAACTACTCAAGTGAAACTGAGTCTGTGGTCATAAAACTGTATAAAAGGCAGACACACTTCTAACAGACCTTCACTTCCTTTGACCATGGAGGCTGCCATGACTAACATGTGCAGTTTTGTTGTCCCAAAGTCTTAACTTTTGACAGCTCCACTGAACTTGGCTTTAGGTACCTTGTGACTCAGGCAATAAAACCAAAGGATCAAAATGACACAGAACAGGTGCTTGATTGAATGTCACACGAAGCAGCCAGTTTGGGGAGATTTGGGGAACAAAGCTGCTCAAGAAGCTGTCTCTACCAATACGGGCTTGCCTGATGACCCCCCTTTAAAGAGTCCTGCTCAGGTCCTCACGCTTTGGCCCAGATGAGGGTTCTGACCATTCCCACACCTTCCCTTGGTGCTATCAGATGAACCAGGTTCATTTCCCTCTTGCCCTCTAGTCTCCTATCCCTCCAGGTCCATGACTACTGCCATTTCACCAACCTACCCCCCACAGTAAGAAAAGTGCTGTGTACTCTCTTGCTAGTTGCTAGCCATATCTGAATCTCTCTCCCAGAACCTTTGTTCTTCTGGGCTTTGGCCTGAGCAAATGTATGGTACCCAGAGCCTAGTCTTGACTCCATAGGCTGCAGGAAAAGGTCCTAGAACTCCGGGGATTTTGCAGTCAGATATACCACACCATTGGATTTTAACTCCTCATTAGCCTGCTTTAAGTCCCTTGCCAGGGTCTTAGCGCACACCTTCCCTACCTCTAGAGTATTTTAGACCAGCAGCATGAGTGTGTGTGGTGTGTGTGGTGTGTGGTGTGTGGTGTCTGTGTGTGTGTGTGTTGGGAGGTGGGTGCAGCAGGCAGGTAAGTGTAGAAGACCAGGGCCAGATGTCAGCCTACATGCCCTTGGACTTTAAACTTCAAACAGGACCAGTCTGGGTTGGCTTGGGGTCAGTACCTATATCAGCAGACTCCAAATTCCCAGCAGGTCAGAAGGATGTGTGTGCTTCCCTTCCTTTGAAGGATTTAAGTCTTGCAGGGGCTTCTCCACTGTTCATGGCATGTCACATGTTTCATATGTGATCTAAGGGAGCAAAGGGTCCTCACCTGCCCAATACAGATGAGCATATGGCTTCCAGTACCTGTTTTCAACAATGTAAGTGCATTCCTAGCATTTTATAGGATCAGGTTAACCCCCAATGTGTTAACTTAAGAGACGTCCATGCAGCAAGGAGAACCTGGGAGTAAAAATGAATACTTTCTCCCACCTTCCAGGACAGTTATCAGTAAGCTCTAGCACTTTTTTTTTTTTTTTTAAGTCTTGAAAATGGTGTGAAAAGTATAATGCAAGTCATGGGACTCTTCTGAAAAATGGCTTAATAAGTTAGTGCAGCTCATCCATTAATGATTAATGTTGGGATCTGCAAACTTGTGAGCAGGGCTTTCCAGGCTCTCGGGTTTGACACACATCAGAGGCCACGCTCAGGACATTTTCCGAGGAAGCCAGGCAGGGACAGCATTTTCAAGAGCAGTGGGTCTCATCCTGTGGGGTTTCTACAGTCCCTCAAAGAGAACACTGGTCAGGCTGCTCCAGGGCGAGTCTGCAGAGCCATGTGACCAACCCAAACGTGACCCTGCGGCCAGCTAATCACAGCGCGCGGACAGGCCCGTCCCAGCTTCACACAGGCTCCCGGACAAACGGAACCAAAGGGCAGGGGGCGTCGGGAGACTTTAAAACCACCCAGCTGTGCCCCAGAGAGGCTGTCTGACCGCACACTTGAAAGTTCGCTCTCACTTCAGGAGGCACGTGACTGCAGGCAGGCAGGTCTCCTAAGCCCTCGGGCAACCCGAGCTGGGGACTCTGAGATGGGTACTGAGGACCAGGCAGCCTTCTGTCCTAACCCCCTTCTTCATTCCCCGCCCCCCCCCCCCCCCTCCCGAACTAGCGAGCAAGCCCCTTGGGGTCCCATCAAGATCGTCACTGCAGGGCTCCGGTGGAGTCCCCTGAGGGGCTTCCCGTCTCTTGCCTAGGAAAGTTGTGCGTCCCGGTGGGGTGGGGAGAGTGGCTGAGACCAGGCTCCCTGGCCCAGGGACCCCAAAGCCGTCACCACTGCCCTCCCAGCCAGCTCCAGCCACACGCCGGCTCTCCCGCGATCGCCTTTGATCCATTGTTTAAGACGAAGGCTCATTACAGCCCCTCGATTAGGACTCGGTTTCCCCCCAGGAAATCTCGCCGGGAACGAGGATCAGCAAACTAACCTGATTAAGTCTTTGTTCCCCTCCCCTCCCCCGTCCAGCTACACGGGGGACCCACGAGGTGCCCAAACGCCCGCAAGGGAGCGGGGTGGGCAGGGGAGAGGGGAGCAACACCTCGAGAGGAGTCCCATGGCAAGCCTCTAACCTGCACTCGGGAGAGACAGCCCGGCGGGCGCCGGGGAGGCAGTCCGGGCGCGCAGGTCTGCACACTGAGCAGCTCCGGGGCCCCGGGCTGCAGCCCGCCGACCGACCGAGCGCCCGCTCAGCGCCGCGGGGGAGGGATCGCAGCCCCGGCTGACCCCCGGGCCCTTTGGGTGCCGGGTCCCCAGAGACGCCCCCGCCCCCTGAAGTCCGAGGCGCGCGCCGGGGGGCCCTCTGCCTCCTCTCCTAACGCTCCGCCCGGCAGGCGAGACAGAACCATTGTTCAGGGGCTCCGGAGCCTACGTTCCCCTCGCCCGCACTCCGAGCGGGGCTGGAAAAGGGGGCGAGGCCGCGGGAGGGAGTGTCAGGGACTGGGGACTAGTTCAGGCGAGGCTTTAGGACACCCCAAACCCCACACTCTCCCCCAAGCCCGGCTCTCCGCGGCGGCGGCGGCGGCGGCGGGCGACGCTGACAGCTCAGAGGCGCCACCAGGGCGGGGAGGGGGGGAAAGGCGAGGAGAGCCGAGAGGTGCCTCCTCGGAGGGGGAGGGGGAGTGGGCAGAAGGAGGAGAGCCCGAGCCTTGGTGGTGGGGTGTGGGGTCCTGGGCGGCCCTGGGGGGTCCGGGGCGGCCCGAGGAGGAGGGGTGCATCCCCCACTTACCTGCTCCGGTGGCGTCGCTCTCCCCGGACGCCCAGCACAGCGCGAGCAGCAGCAGCCAGAGCGCCCAGAGCGCGGACGTGCCCATGGTGCCCGCCCGGATGGTGCCGCCGCCGCCTGCTCCGCACAACAAGTTACCAGCCTTTCGGAAAGGAGGAAGGAGTTGGGGGCAGGGAGAGAGGAGGGGAGAGGAGGAGGGGAAGGAGTTAGAAGGGGGTTGGTGGGGGTGGGGGGAAGGGAGCTGGCGAGCAGAGGACACCCCCTCTCCTACAACTTGCACAATTTCCTCCCCACCTGCCAGCCCACCCAACCTCCCTCCCTCCCCCCCACCTCCCAGGGCTGCAGCAGCAGCAGCGCCAGCCGAGCCCGTGGGCAGAAAATAATGCAGGCGATGCAGGAGAGGGGAGGGCAGAGGAGGGGAGGGTGCAGGAGAGAAGGGGAGGGAGGGAGGGAGAGGGGGTGGGGAGTGGAGATCCGAGGAGAAGCCAGAAGAGAGAGAGAGGAGTCCGCGGCCAGCAGCCAGCCGAGCACCCGCTGCCTGAGCTAGGGGTGAGGAGCGAGGAGGGGTCCGGAGGGGAGTGGTCAGCGGGGCGGCGGGGCGGGGGGAGAGGCGCTCAGCCCTCTTTTCTCATGGATGCGCCGGTCTCCTAAGGGGTGTGTGTGTGTGTGTGTGTGTGTGTGTGTGTGTGTGTGAATGTGAGCATGCGGGCGGGCAGCATGCGCGGCCGTAGCCGTAGCCTTGACCGTGGCCGCTGCTGCCGCCGGGACTGCTCCCGGGGCCGGGCGCTCCGCACGTCCCCCAGAGCTCACGGGGGCCCGGAGCGGCTGCTGGTTGGCTCTCCGGCAGCCCGCGCGCCTCCAATCCTAGATGCCTGTCCTAATTTCCTGATCCAGGGAACCTGCCGCCGCAGCCGCTGTGCGCTCCCTACAGTCCGTGCTGACTGTGCCCTCCCCGCAGCCGCCAGCAGCGAATGCAGCAGCAGCTGGGGCCGCAGCAGCAGTTAACGCTGATGCAACTAGAGCTGCTATTGCCACTGCCTTTCCACTAACGCGGCTTGCAGCTTCCAGGGGGTGAGGGGCGGAGGGAGTAATCACCCCTCTGCCACCCTTTTCTGTGCCCCAAAGAGAGGAAAAGGGAGGCTGGTAGGTAGCATCTTCTTCGGCCTCTGCTTCTTCCCACGTGAGTGAAAGTGGTAAAAAGAAAGGAGTCCAAGCGTCTGGGCTGTCCTTTTGTGGGGTTCGGGGTGTCTGTCTCAATTGCACGCGGAGATGCCATTTTTGCTAACAAACAAACAAAAAAAATTGTGTCTTGAAGTGTGTGGAGTGTGGGTGAGATCATGCACCTTGTGGCTTAGAACCAGACCAAAAAACCCAGGGAAATTGTCACAGTAGCTCTGCATTTCTCATCAACATTGGAGTTAATTGCTAATTGCACAAAAAGGATCATTGAAGGGCCTGTAATGAAAAGCTTAACTTTTTCTTATTTGGGGGAGGGGAGACACATACGTTTGCTCTTCTTGATGTAGTTTGTACTAATCAATGGCATGGCCCAAAGAAGGAAAGAAGGAGTAAAGACATGACTTCTGTAAAGGATTGATTCTTGTTTTGTGCCTGGCTAGTACTGAGCCCACCTAAGATGCTTTTGGGGCACTTGAGTTTTCTTACACAGTTCCCTCTGCTGTGATCTGTTAGACATAACAAGACACAGTGGGCACCCTGAGCTATTTTGCCTTCTTAAATAAAGGGTTTATGCTTTTCAAAAAGTTGTTTTTATCACGAATGCTCAAACCCTGCTGATTTCAATAGGACCGCGCTCTGGCTCTATTCTATCCTTAAGATGGGAAGTGGTGGGCACTACCTAGCTGTATTCTCCTTGTTCTGGTTCTCCCTGGCACTTGTCAAGGCTAGTTGTCAGGTGGGATGTTTATTAGCAACTTACTGTTGTCCAGGAGACAAAGAGGATAGGAAAATTCCAGAAGGATACACTTTGGTAGGATCAGAGGTTATTCAGATAGTAACTAATGCCCATGAAAAGGGCTTGAGTCGATGTATGTATTGGTGGAGTCTTGCACAGCAACTCATTTTGAATGCTGTTTTGCCCACCCCACGTTTACATGTTTGAGACAGACCTACCGTAGCCACACACATGTTGCATGCGAAACTGACTTCAAACTAGTTTTATGCCATTAAGTAGTGAACACGCATGGAGGTGCTGTTCACTTACTGGGCATTACAGTGTGATGGTAAAACTTTAGGTGCATAGCAGCTTCAGTATTCTTGGGGTTCTGAAAGACCATCTGATAATGAACTGTGGCCTTAATACGAATAGACACAGTGTTAATAAACAGTCATGTGGCTTGTTTCTAATATTTTACTCAGAGACAAATGTGCATGATGAGTAACACAGTGGTATGATATAACAAGGCATCTTGACAAACATATATTATGCTTTCTTCTCTCCAAAGGGTATAAGTAAACTGTTAGAGAATTTAGCTGCTGCTCTATGCTCAGTCCCGTAACTTTTTTGTTGAATCAAAGGGAAGCATAACTTTTGGCTCTGACTCTGATTGGCTGTGTAACTTGGGAAAATCATTGGGCATCTCTGTGCCTGCCTTTGACCTGTAAAGTGAAAAGAAAACCACAAAGTATCCAAGTTCTCTGTGGCCTCAAAGTATCAGCTCTCTGTAAAGTGATGGTGTTTAGAAGAATAGTTTATAAGGAGGAATGCATTTGATTAATACAGAAAATAACTGAATAACCGAAAAGATATATGTATCTTTTTGAGTGGAGTCTAGTGTGGTTGAACTAACTGCAGTTAGAGAGATTCAGAAGCCTCCAGGTGAATACATAGGCAATCCCATTCTTCCCACAATCTGCCAGATTTGTTTATTTGTTGGAGGAACATACATTGAGCATCCCTGGAGGGCTAGCAGGCACTGTGCTAGACCTTTGGAGATGCTAAGCCCAGGAAGTTCAGTCAGGATCTGGTGGGGGAGGCAGAGAAGTGGCAATTACACTACCCTATGCACAGCACAAGGATGCTCCAAGTGCTATAAGATTAAAGGGGAAAGCAGCTAATGTGGCTGGGGGCAAGAGTATCAGAGAAAGCTTTCTAGAGCACTTGTCTTCAAGCTGAGTAGATTCGTCATTTTTACTAAGCAATTTCAATTCTTCCTACTGCTGGACACATTGTACGTGTACGTCCTGGCTTCCTCGTGGCTGAGTGGGACTGAAAGATTAATTTTGACCAATTATTTGTGAGCAGAAGTTACAAGAGTGCCACTTGCAGACTGGAGCATTTAATTACTTGCATAAGCCACTCTTTTTGTCTACGTGATGACAAGAAGTGGCTGCTCCATTATCCTGATTCCTAAATGACTAGAGCAGTTCTCTACTTTCTGCCTGTCTCTGGCAATGATCGCAGAGAGGAGAGATTAGCAATAGTCACGGGCCTGTTTTGTATGATCTATCAATAAGAATAGTTTATATACATTACATATACACTGAGTGGCCAGATTATTATGATCTCTGAATGCATAATAATCTGGCCATTCAATACATACATACACACACACACACACACACACACACACACACATTAGAGGCCCAGTGCATGAATTTGTGCATGGGTGGAGTCTGATCAGCCTGGCCAAGGGGAGGGGACATGGGCAGTTGGCCAGACTGCCTGATGGTCGAGCTCTCCTGGTCGAGGGGATGATTTGCATATTAGCCTTTTTTATATAGGATATACACTAAGTGGCAAGATTATTATATGTTCAGAGATCATAACAATCTGGCCACTCAGTAATTATATATATATAAAGTTGTGCCAAGAGAGAGACTATGCAACAGGAACTGTATGTTGCTCATGGATTCTAACATATTTACCATCTTTGTCTCTAGAGAAAGAAAAAAACCCTCACTGACCCTTAATAAAGAGTGAGTGCAAAATAAGTCTTTTTTTTTTTTTTTTTTTAATCTACTGAGTTTTTGTTACCTCAGCATGACCTAGCATTAACCTGACTGATGTAGGGGGTAAAGAAGGAAGGGAAGCAAAAGAGCATCAAGTATTCAAGAAAATGCAAGGGATTTAGGATTGTTCAGTGGAGGGAAGTAAGGCAGAAGACAGGCAAGGACTAGATGATATGGATATCTGAATGTCATGTTAACACTTTGGACTTCATCCCATAGGCCATGGTGGGGACTTGTGATCATCTTTTCATAATTATAAAAAAAATTATTATAAAATACAGAGAAAAATAAAAATTGAAAAGCATACTTTCAATACACAGAGATAGTAACATACTTATTTCTTTCCTTCTAAAAATGTATTTAACTTTGTCCTCAAGTCACAGAATTGTATTGACATAATTATAATTGGTCCAGTTATGGCTCTCTTACTTAATTATTTGTTAATTTACTTCTATTTGTTAATGTACATAAAAAAAAGATATATCCATGGAGCCCAAGAAGTGGAATATTCACAGTAAGGCATCCACTGATGTGCTTCTCCACATAGGCATCTGCTAGCCTTCCCCCTGGAGGAAATCGCTATTGTGATGGATTTTGATCAGAGGCCAGATCTCCAGTGTGTTTTATAAAGTTCACTCTGTCAGTGGTGTGAAGGGTGATTTATTTGGGATGCAGAGTCGAATAAGGCTAGAGGAAGGACCGACAGAGACTCTGATGGTGAGGGAACACCTAAAGAAAGGAGGGGAAGAAGCTATTATTGGCAGCCAGAAATGTTCATGTAACTCCTTCATGAGCCTTCTCCCCAGTCCCATGGGTATGTCTCTTAGAACAGTGTTTTCCAAACATGCGCACGCCATAAGGATCTCTGGTCATGTCTGCCGAGAGCAGATTCCCAGGTTCTCCCTCGGAGATCCTGATTCTGTGGTCCAGGGCAGCACCCAAAAAGCTGTGTGTGTGACCTTATCACAGATGAGTCTTAGGGTTAGCCATGATTAAGAAACTTTCTTAGAGAATTCTTGTTTAATGCAGTTTTAACTACCATGTGGCTTTCTTCTCTCCATTATGTGTATATTTTTTCCTTAAAAAATGCTAAGGTTAATGTTGGGCTTTTTTTCT